TCGCCATGGCCCTCCCAGCTTGGCGTTTCCTGGCAAAGCAGGTGGAGCGGCCCACATTTTCATTCGTGCACAGCACGCAGGTAATTTTGGCTCTCTAAAGCAGTCACTACCTTCATGTAAACAGTATGGGTGAAAATATCATTGCATTTTTTATTTAATGTTTGCAAATGCTCCAGGTGAACTCCATGAGCGAAAACAATGCTGTGTGAATAATCACGCCCCTTTGAGTACTGGGCAGTTAAAGGCAACATTTTCATTTTCAAAAGTGACTAAGTGACTTACGGCTCATTTCCTCTGGACAGTTACGGGAATAGCTAATTAACAATAATTAACCTGATATACTTGCATCAAAACCTCCTTGAAGACACCCTCGCTCCAGAGTAAAACCTCCTTTTCCTGAATTAGCTTAATCCAGTCAGGAAGAGCCCATTTTTAGCACAGCTTCAGTCCAGCTGCAACTCCACACGCTTTCCATGAGGCCTTCACCCTTTCAAAATAAGCTTGCAGCTGCTAGTCCACTTACGTTTCTGAAATTTCTACCCAAGGTAAAGCAATCTGCAAAGAGGGATAGGCTGCAATTAGGCACTGGATCATACAAGTGAAAATAAGCTGGTCTGCAAAACTCCGTCTTCATAGAGTTTTAGAGGCATTAGTTCACTACCTTTACCAACTATAAACACTACTCTTACATATGAAGAAGTTGAGACAGACAGGTGAAGGGCCTTCCCTGAAGTGTTACCAAGAGTTAATATCTCTACAGAGTGTAGGACTAAGGAAATTTTGGCTTCCAATTATACCTGCATTCAAGCAAGTATAAATATGTCTGGAGGGCCATGGGGAGCAGCAATTCTCCACCACCACCACCACTTTCTGTTACTGTAGTCAAGGCTGGCACATGCTCCATGGTGCAGTGGTGGCTTGACCAGCTGGGAAGTCCCCTTTACCCCCCTGTCCCTCCTCCCTGCCCCGTAACTTGGCTCTGTCTGCCCCCCATGCATGCACATGGCCAAATGCTCCAAAGAGGGCTCCAAATAAAGGGTCAGGAAAAAGAAGGTGATCCTCAGACGGGCAGAAATATTTCAAAATATTTCTAAATAAACACTAAATATTGGAAGAAAGAACATTTCCGAGTAGAAGTAGTAGATAAATATGCTGGTCTGGAATGTTTTCTCCACTAGAAAAGCCTCCCTGTGATCTGAAAAAACATTCATTTTTAATTAGAAGATGAAATATGGTTCCCATGACTGTAAAAATTACTTTACAGCAAGTTATTGTGCTTATTACAAGCCTGTAAAATTAGCCCAAACCATAAAACTCCTTCTGATTCTGTACGTCTCCCTGGATTTACTGCTGATCTCACTAATTTCACAGCCATCTCATCTGTTTTCCTCGCCTTTTCTTTGCTATCTCCTACTCTTTCACGTTTCCATGAATTTTCCCCATTTTCTTACTCGAAAGAGGATCTAAGTGCCTTTAACTAGAGGCTTTCCCACAGCACAACTCAGACAGTATCAACTCCTGATTAGGCAGTCTGTGCTAGCTCAGTCAGAATGAAAACCTTGCAATGGATTTTATTTGCTCTGAGAGGGGCCCCCCTGGCTTGCAAGCTCAAGATTAAAAACCCTGGGTTTCTCAGTCCAATTTGTTTAGTCAGCATTCAGCCCTTATTTTTTGCCTGAAGCAGAAAAGGGGGGAGAAAAGGAATTGAAGACAATGCTAGTGAAAAAAATCTAAGCTATTTTAATCCAATGCAAATTGTGTGAGCTGTATCGAAACTGTATTGTTCCACTATGTTGCTGTTGGTTGCTAGTTAACGTGCACTGCCGGTGTGTTGCTGTACAGATCTTTTGGGGTTCATGGGAAAGTAAGCTCAAAAAAGCCGTGATATAAAGTCTTATTTGCATAGTAGCAGACAGCAGCTCGGCACCGATTTCCCTTTGATCTAACAGTGTCAAGAAGTTTTACAGCATTTTAGTTTGGAGGTGAAGGAAAGTTATCAGGGAAGAAGAGATCTTCCTCGCTAGCACTGAGTGCTATGTGCCCCCTGCACACTGAACCCTGCGACTAAGCAGTTTGCTCTCCCTCGGTGTCAGAAAGCAGCAGGCATCCTCTGGTATAAACAGTCTGAGGGCTGAGACCAGTCTGAACAGAGCGGAGGTGGCAGAGGGGATGTCGCTGGGCAGCCAGACTGCAGCCACACACAAGCTAATTGCAGAAGGGGAGCCGCACATCCTCCTCAGAAAAAGCCCGCGGTGAGGAGCTGCTACCTTGCGGAAGACCCCACCAGTAAAACTCTGTCTCAGCAGCGTTTCAGCACAGTCCCCAGCAGGGCCGAGGCAGCATCCTTGCTCCACCTCAAAGGGCTGACTTTCATTCAGCACGGGATCAGCAGTCTCGTGTGGGGCAAGGCCTGCCGCGGGGTTGTGCTTTACCTCTCCCCACATCAGTTTTGATGAACCTGGTTCAAAACCTCTTTCAAAAGCAGATACACACATGCCACACCCAGGCACAGCTGCTAACATTAGGCAAGAAACCAGCAGACATTTAAATATAGAACAGCCAGGCTTGGTGAGAGGGAAGAGCTCTGCTGGTGCACCTTGACTTCCTTGATCAGCAATCTCTTATGCTCAATATTGCACAGAATGAAATAGCACAGGCAATCCTTTCGTTTGGAAGAACAAATATTCCCATAAACCAAGTATGGTATGCTAGTCCTCTGTTGGGGTGTTTTAATTTTGCAGGGGAAAAATAAAAAACCTTCCACAGCCCAGATTTTCAAAACCCACCCGAGATTTCTGGTGAGTCAGAGTTTAGACACCCAGTTCGCAACACCGATGTTACGGTCTCTCCAGGAGAGCTGAATGCCGACTCCTTCAAGACCAGACCCTGTTACAGATGCCAAGATGGGCACGCACTGGTGATAGGCAGAAGCTACAGTGGATAACTTCTTAATACAACTAATCCAACATCATTTAAGCCCTGGCTTTCCTGAGGATAAGCTCCAGTTTTACAGCCTATAGAATAGCTGAGTTTCTTAAAACCAAGAGAAGATACGAGTCTTTTTGTGTCTGAAAGAAGAATTACCCTCACTCTCTCTTCTGCTCAGGAGAAAGCCCTGCGCTATAAAGTAAGATATAAAGGGCCTTCTGTTAGCCCATGTAGCACAACCGGCTCTTAATCTGCATCACTTGTCATAGCTTTAGGCAGCTGTTAGCACAGGCATGCAATGCCCACTTGACTTGCCACCGCAGGTAGCACCTGCCTGCGACCGCATGACAGCCGCTCTGCCAGCACTGCCAAGGCATTTCAGAGGCACGTGCCACCAACGGCAGGGACGGCCTGGTGATCCCTGCACAGGGAAAAGGCAACCCACGGCAGGAAAGCACAGTTAGGCCTGAGCTCACGCAAAGCAGCCACAGGATGATTTTCGGACACTTATTCCAGGAAGAGGTGATGGGACGGTTGTCTAATCATCTGGATGAAATGCGCAGAAGTCTAGCTCGTTGATAAGCAACCACTTACGGCCAGAGCTATACCTGTCCTGTCCGAATTAAAAATAACGAACTCTTGCTCCGGCTCACTTAGGAAAACCCTCTGGTTTGAGTATCAACAGCCCTTAATCTTGGAGCTCTCCCGCACCCAGCAAGCCTGGTGCTTGACCTGCTCTCCATTCGCATCCAGCTCCCTGGCTCCCTCCCCACAAGCAAGACCTGGAAATGCTAATCCCTGCCAACAAAAGCCATCAGCGCACCATCACAAAAAGGCTTTGGGGACCGTATTCTGTCACCTTGGTTTACACCAAGGAGTATCTTACTCCCTACTGCTTCCCATGGGGCTACTGGCCAAGTGAAGCCCCAACTGGCACAAGCCAAGGTGGCCCAATCTAGCCTTTAATTACCACCACCATCCAGACCTCAGGGGCAACTCCGGGTCACATAAATAGCATGGTATTTGAGCAGAAACTCGGTCTCTTTTGAGACTGGTGCAGTTTCAGTGCTTGGTGTGCTGCTGGCATTAAACAACTAATTCATAATGCAGGCATGAAACCACAAATCGAGTGGTGAGAGGGACAGAAGATGTGATATTTTATAATTAATTTTTTGTGCTCAGAACTCAAATACCTTTAACAAATGTGTCTATAGTTCACCGGTATTTTTCTTCCTACACCTGTACCGCCATACAATTATAAAACATTACACATGATGCTTTCCAAGCTGTGACCCAGGAGATGACATTTCATTTTCAAAAAGGACATAATATAATTCCTAACAACATAGAGACTTAGACTCATCTTTAAAAGTGTCACCAAAACGGTCATTAAGATGCTTTCTGAATATCTGTGCTAAGTGGCACATTCTCAACGAAATGTTTGCATGGTTTTTTTTTTTGTCAAACAGTAATAAAATTCAGATGTATAAACACAATAAAGAAAACAATCAGGGCTTATTTTTCGCTGTCCAAAGTGCGTGTGCTTGCACGCACACACACACACACACAGAGAGATATTTGTATTAATGTGAGCGGATTGAGTAGACTTTGTCATATCTGTACCAACAACCAGCAATATATATAGTTATGCAGATAAAAATAATATATTTTAATAGTTGTGTATATGTAATTTTTTTTAAACTAAAATAAACCAAATCAACCTCGAATATCTAGACAGACACAAAGACATATTTGTAGCTGGACCCTTTGAAATAAGTCCTTGTCCATCACAAGGAAGAGCAGGCTGAGCCATCTGCAGGAAAGGCTCTTTGCTATCAGCCTTCAGAGAAAGGTTAACAGCAACGGGAAAAAAGCCACTCCCGTCTTTTACTTGAACGCGAACTCCGGTACGTGTAGCGCACCAACACAGAAGCCGAGATACCGTAATCTTGCCGAGCCGGGAGCAAGGCAGCCCTTCCTACAAGCTGCCAGAGCGGCTACCCGCACGTTAATCACGGCCGCGGGAGCCCGGAGAGGCTGCAGGGGAGCCGGCACATCGTGCGAGACCTTACCTGTTCCAGGTAGCGTTGGAGCAGGCCCGTCGCTGCTGGGTCCCCCGCTCATCCAAGGCTGCCTGCTCTCTCTTGCCCAGATCACTGAGGCTGGGCGAACTCATGAACTTCAACCTGCGAAGAGTCCTCATGGTCAAATGTGTGTTTGCGCGTGGCAGCTACAGATACACCATCCTGTTTACACACACACACGCGCAGCGGCGGCAGCAGCAGCAGCAATGCGAGCAGTTCCCTCCGTTTGCTGTTCAAAAAAGAAACTTAAAAAAAAAAGAAGAGAGAACCAGTCTCTACGGAGCACACCTCTGCCAGCAAGAAAACAAACCTTTAATCAGATCAACTCTGACGTCATCAACTGTGGTTAATAATTTCTCCAGTCCTTTCAAAAAATAAAAGTCGAACTTCTGGCTGCTGCTGCAGCACTTTGAAGGGGCCCCTTGCAACCGCAGCTGCCCCGAGCGCGAGGGCTTCCCCTCCCCCTGTCCCCGGGCACCACGACCCGGGAATCTCGCTCAGCGCGGCGTGCTCCACCTGTCGTGGGAACTGCTCTGCTCCTCCAGTGGCTTGGGGGGGTCTGCTAGCATTTCTCAACCTCTCCCTCCCTCTCTCTGCACTCATAAATGGAAATGAAACTGGAGGGCAACGGACAGAGAAAAAAAACCCCAAGCAACCAATACTGACGCACTGAGACTTTATTGGAAAGTTTCGTAACTGCCTGTGCCCTGCCACGTTACGACACTGCACACACGCGCTCTCGCTCCCTCGCTCATACATATACATACGCACACTCCCGCACTCCCTCTCTCCCGTACTCCCTCTCTCCCGTACGCACACAGCACAGCCTCATGGCTCGCCGGGGAGGCTGCTTCGGCTGGAAGTGTCACATAAGCCACAAGACGGAAAGTATTTGCAAGCAACACAACTGCAGAATGAAAAGCGCTGGTTTGAGTTTTAGCATTTTACAGAATTTTTCGTGGTGCATAGAAGAGGCAGATGCTTTGTCTTTCTCTGCCTTTTTTTTTTTAAATCGAGATAACAGCTGCACAACTTGGGGCATACTTAGTTTCTACAAAAGCCCCAGGTGTTTTATCTTCAAAGGAAAAATCTTCTTTCTCTCTCTGACTGCAGCACTGGAGCTGAAGGATATGCTGCTACAAGACTCCAGCCCATGCTTAGCTCGTTGTCACTCACTTGTGGTTCTGTTTTAAATTCAGGAGTGCCTGGCTCATCTGCTGGGAAGTAATGTAACAAAACAGCGATTAGCTTTCTCAGAAAAGAAATTGTTTGCAATAGACTGAGCCAGAGCCTAAGAACTGCTCTTCTGTTGCTACGGCATTGGTCTGCAAATAGTCTGGTAAAAGCCATGAGGGCTCCTTGCAGAGTAACCTTCCACTCACTGGAAGGGTGCTGCACTACAGTTGAACTTACCCTATCTTTTTTTCCCCACCTTTACTTACTCTTTTCATCTGCGATAACCTATTGTCCAGATCTGGGCCATAGTTGGATTTGTTTGTGTCCAAATAACATGGCAAAGCATACATTACAGGAGAACTGAATTTCTCACAGTGAGATCTGCCCTATGTGCATCATTTACTGACATACTTTAGTAAAAACTGATTCCTCTCACTACTTGCCCAATGCTAAGCTTATTGCATATAAATATTTACTTCCAAAATTTATATTTGATATTACCTGCGAGGGAAGCAGTTGCAGAACTACCTAGGGAAATAAATCCATTTTTACCTTGTGCTAGTTTTAGCAGCAGTAGTTTTATCCAGCTGCTTGGATTAGTGTTATATTGATTGTCCTTCCCACACCAAAACCCTCAAGTATACAAAGGAGCATCACAGTAGATGGCATATAACATTTCGCTTTGGAAGGGACCTGCAGCTCCACATCTAACCTATGTACAAAGACATCGCTATCCCTGGTCTCTTCCTGATGTTTAAATCCTTCAAACAAACGAACAATAATCCACTATGTACACAGCAGCAAAAGGAAAACAAACACAACAATATATGGCTGTATTCTAAGGAGTGAGATGGCTTCTACAGCGTACAAATCAGTGACCAAAAATAGATGCAGCAGAACACTGCTTTGTTCAAATTGGATGAAGGGCACTCCATTTCTGTGGATAACACAGACCAGGAGAGCAGGGGAGCACAACTCGGTCTGAGCTTCTGCTGAGGGCTCAGATAAATGTGCGTCTACCCTGTTATGTGAAACAACTAGTTAGATAAACCTGTGGCAACATAATTCCATTTAATTTCGTTTTCCACCTAGCTCAGTTGCTTTTCTGCTTCTCACTTGCTGCAAATTTGATAGGCCTTGCAAAATGTTATTATACTGGATTAAACCCTTGGAATTTTTAACTCTTTGATCCCTCAGCAGCACCATAGAGTTTATAAACTGTACCCTGATGATGCCAGTATGTCAGCAGCTACATAATAACGTTTAATCTGCTTTTTTTTCCTAAAATCCTCAACTTGCTAATTGACTGAACCCAAGGACTTGATGTGTCAACCTTGGATACGACAGACAACATTGCAAAAAGCAGTACTTTGCTTCCTCATAAAATGCTGCATCCCAAAAGAAAAAAAAAATAAAGGACCTCTCTTCGTCTGTATGTTGAAATATTACACCTATACAAGTCAGACTATTTTTATGCCACCCCATCAATCTCAGTAACCAGTACTAGATTCAGAGTCGACGCATGCACAAAACACATGGGAGAGGCAGCATTCTAGTTTCCTGAAAAATTTCAGATTGAGGTAACAGAGGACAGGCTTTCTCTGTACTTCTTCCTCCTTCCTACGATTCCACCTGATCAAATGTTGATTTATGATAAAATAAATAATTTTCAACAAGGGTTACCTCCACCCATAATTACAGAGTAATACTTCACATTTACATTGTGCTGTGCATCCACGGACATCCTTGACTTTCACGGCATTCATTAATTCAGCCCTGAGCAGCTCTTGGGTATGAAGCAAAAGATACGATCCGCACTTCAGCGTTAAGAGTGAAGAAGAGAAAGGTGATGTGACTTGCCCAGACCACCCCGTTAGCAGGTGGCAGAGATGTCAAGAGATCCCAGGACCTCCACCTCCCGTTCCAGCACACTACTGAGGGGATGCTGCAGGGACTGGGTAGCTGGGGACTCCCTGGGCCCAGGCAGCCGGAGGGCGATGCAGAAGACGGAGCTCCTCGCCACGGCTTGCGGTGAGGCCGTTCCTCTGTAGTCACTTGTGAAGAGAGTTGTCGCAATACAGCACTGCTTCAAGATCGAGAGGCTAAGCGGCAGAGATTGCTCGCTATTGGTCATGGAGAGGGATAAGAGCACTGACCGGACTAATTGGGAGGGAGGGGAGGATGAGGGATTGGTGGAGGCCCTCCCGTAGGCTCAATAACGAGCACTACAAGCTTCTTAAATAGAACAACTGCAATCAGCACATTTACAGAGCCGAGACTGTAAAGTACTGTTACCTTAATTCATTTAATCCCAGCGTGCCGTACATGATGCTAATACCACTATTTCACTCACAAGAAACCTGCAGCTCACAGGTTAAGTGATTTAATGGAAGGCGCATCCAGCCCTAGCTCCTGCTCCCTCCCTTCCCCTCCAACATCTCTCCTCATAAAAACAGGCCTGTCTCTACTAGAAACCGTTCTTTCATCTGTGGGGCCCACATCCTGCGGGTGACTGCACGGCAAGTCCCGGAGCCGCGACAGTGCCAGAGATGTAGGGGAATTCTGCTCACCAGGACCTGCTTGCTATCTTGAGGCCTAAAACAACGTACAGGTACATGAATATATGCTGACAGCCCAAGAGTCTTTACGCTGTTATTACAAGACAACGTTAGCATGCAGATCCAGGACCTCATAGCTTTTAAAATAATCACCCAGGGTAACTCTGTAGTTACCTACTGGTATGCCTGTAACGCCTGCAATGTTCTCACTGGGAGCTGTGGTTTAAAGATCGCATTGCTGCCCCTAGAAAATGTTAAACAAAACCCAGGCAGACCTCCCCAAGCATACACTTGGTTTCAAAAGAATGAGATTTGCTAAAAAAAAAAAGAAAAAAAGGCAAAACCCCTACATTTTATTTATGTGATGCTATGTTAATTTTTACAGTACAATTGTATTGTCTTCTTACAAGTTTCTTTTTGAGATGGGAAAGGAAGCAAAAAGTAACGTTGATGAATGGGAACATGAAGAAATTCACAATATATGAAATTCATAATAAAGCTGCCAATGTTGTGACTGCTACGGGTCAACGTGTCTTCGGCTACACCATTGTGCTACTGCAACGACAGGTTAACACTGCAGCGATATTGGTGCCAGTGAGAGGATATAATCAGGAAGAGAATTTGCTATGTCAGCTTTATTCACCAGAGCTTTGCCGTGTAAAAAACAACTCAATAAATATAAATTTTAATTGGAAAAAATAAAAAAAAAGCCCTCTACTTCACTTTATCTCCCCTCCGCTTTTGGAGAAGAAAGCAGAAATCCCTATGGAAATGCTGAATGGTGTACGCTCTGCAAGCAAAGAACAAAGAAGTAAAGTGCATCTACGGCAGAAAGGAGTTAAAACCCTCCCTAGACAAATGCACTTTAGTTTTTCATAAACCACACCACAAAACTTAGGGCATGCCTCAACACATGCCAAAGCTCAGGAATTAGTCTTCTGAAAAACCACACTTCTTAAAGGCACAGCACGTCCTGCTGCGCCAGCAGAGGAGGGGCAAGGCGGGAGGGAAGAAGGAGATGTGAGTATCAGGAAAAAATAAAAGGAGCGGAGGGGGAAATAATGTTACAAACCTTATGACTCATCTTTGCTACAATACCCATGTAAAGCTCCTTTATCGTCAGAAAACAAATAATAAAGAGAATAAAGAAAGTATGAAACCAAGCAGGCACTATTTGCACCCTTCCCCCTCCATCCCACTGACTCTCTGCAACTGCTGGAAATAGAGGCACTCTCAAGGACAGTTTCTGCCTGTCATTTATTGAGGCTGGTCACAGGACAGCCTTGGTTTTGGTAGTCCTTTGCTTTATTTCTGCCCTCATCGCAGCCAAGCTCTGATTTATAGGAGGGGACCTTGGGCTTACTGGGCCACCTCCCCAAGCTCCG